TGAGCCTGTCACTTCAGGGAAAAAGCTGGCAATGTTTGTTGCCAATGATAAAATTCTAGCTTTAAAGTGAAAATTAGAATTTGGGGAAATTGTATTTCCACTGTGAATCTGACAGCTTCCAAATATTTAAAGACTCATCAGAAAAGATGAGATTGGTACTGAGATAAACAAATGTGATTCAAAAAAATATTTGATAAGAAATGTTTCAACAGTTGGAAGATCTGCATGTTTCAGTGAGATAATATTTTCTAAATGGTCAATGAATAATTTACACCGTCATAAGCAGGTAAAAGATCCATTCCAAATGTAACATGGACCAGTGGATCTTACCGTAGCTGAGTATGAAAACTTCATCTCTGGGTTTCAGATTTCACGTTGCAACTAGCCTTCGAGAAGCTACGATTTGTCAAGCTTTGGTGTGGTGGTATCAAAGCAGCACTGATCTAAAAAGGGTATTAAAGCACTCCTTCATTTTCTAGCTGCGTATCTGTGTGAAGTTGTGTTTTTTCACATACTTCAACCAAAGTAAAGAATCATAATAGATTGAATGCAGAAGACTCTGTGATAATCCACCTGTCTTCTACCAAACCAGACTTGAAAGAGATGTGCAAAAATGTAACACGGTGCCATTCTTCTATTTTTTTGTTTTGGAAAATATGGTTTTTAAAAATAAAAAAAAAACATGCCATTTCCATTAACATGTAATGGATTTATTGCCTTTTAAAATGAATAAATACTTTTAAAAATTTCCCCATTTTAAATTTCCGATTGAGTAAATATTGATAGGTGTAACTCACTCACACAAAATCTCTTTGGGATTCTCAGTGATTTTTTTTTTTTTTTTTTTTGAGACAGAGTCTCACTCACTCTGTTGCCCAGGCTGGACTGCAGTGGTGCAATCTCGGCTCACTGCAACCTCTCCCTCCCGGGTTCAAGTGATTCTTGTTTCTCAGCCTCCCAAGTAGCTGGGACTACAGGCATGTGTCATCACCCCCTGGCTAATTTTTGTTTTTGTTTTTGTTTTGCAGAGATGAGTTTTCGCCATGTTGGCCAGGCTGGCCTTGAACTCCTGTTCTCAAGTGATCTGCCTGCCTCAGCCTCCCAAAATGCTGGGATTACAGGCATGAGCCACCATGCCTGGCTGGTTCTCAATGATTTTTAAGAGGGCAGAGGGGTCCCCAGAAGGACTGTGATGTGACATCAAGCAGGAAGGGATGCATTTTTGATGATACTATCCCCGAAGTAGCACAGGCTCTTTTTAAAGAACCATTTATAATATTTGCTCACAAAAGAGTCCTTTTAAGATCTGGATTTTTTTCCCATTAAGTTTTCCACATTTTGGTCAAGAATGTTAGTGGGTTGATTAGTTTTTCATCTGTCTTGAATTTTCTTCTAGCTGCTGTCAAGTCAGTGCTGCAGCGATTCATGTGATAGCAAGAGTGGGGGGCATCCTCGGGCTTAATAGAGCACGCAAAGAACTCTGCTATAGTCACAAACAAGCACTAGTTTATTTGTTACTGAGTCAGGTTTTTATTATTAAGATCTTCTATCTCATTTGGACTCTGTCATCTTGATAAATGCTTTATTACAGCTTGTAGGATGGTCTTGAATACAGATGAATTTATGGCAAAACATATTGTTGGATTGAGGCCAGTAATTCTTAAGGTAGACTCAATTCAAATGTAGATGGGCTTTTTTGTTGTGTGTAAGGGCCGTGGTCTGGAAAGCTCTTGCTCTGTATAGCATACATCAGTTTGAATGCAGTGACATGACCAGGGAAAATATGTAGTCAGGTTGTTAACAGGCCAAGAATGAAACCTAAGAGCATATCCTCTTAGCAAGTTTTCAAGGTGGCACCTATGACTGCTGAAAGTAAGCAAGGCTTTGGAGATGATGGGAAATCACACAGGGAGAGGGCTTTTTTTTTTCTTTAGATGGAGTTTTGCTCTTTTCGCCCAGGCAGGAGTGCAATGGCGCAATCTCGGCTCACTGCAACCTCTACCTCCCAGGCTCAAGTGATTCTTCTGCCTCAGCCTCCCAAGTAGCTGGGATTATAGGTGGGTGCCACCATGCCTGGCTAATTTTGTATTTTTAGTAGAGATGGGGTTTCACCATGTTGGCCAGGCTGGTCTCGAAGTCCTGGCCTCAGGTGATCCACCCACCTGGCCCTCTCAAGGTGCTGGAATTACTGACATGAGCCACCTTGCCTGACCAAAAGCTTAATCATATCTCTATAAAGTCATTCTGGGGACCCCTCTGCCCTCTTAAAAAATCATTGAGAACCAGCCAGGCACAGTGGCTCATGCCTGTAATCCCACCATTTTGGGAGGCTGAGGCAGGCAGATCACTTGAGAACAGGAGTTCAAGACCGGCCTGGCTAACATGGTGAAAACTCATCTCTACAAAACAAAAGTTAGCCACGGGGTGGTGACATGTGCCTGTAGTCCCAGCTACTTGGGAGGCTGAGGCACAAGAATCACTTGAACCCGGGAGTGAGAGTTTGCAGTGAGCCAAGATTACACCACTGCACTCCAGCCTGGGCGACAGAGTGAGTGAGACTCTGTCTCAAAAAAAAAAAAAAAAGTCACTGAGAATCCCAAAGAGATTTTGTGAGAGTGAGTTACACCTATCAATATTTACTTTATCAGAAATTGCTTGGCCTCCCAGCACTTTAGGAGGCCAAGGCAGAGGATCGCTTGAGCCCAAGAATTTGAGACCAGCCTGGGTATCATAGTGAGACCTCCTCTCTACAAAAAATACAAAAGCTAGCCAGGGCATGGTGGCGGGTTACTCAGGAGGATGAAGTGGGAGGATCGCTTGAGCCTGGGAGGCAGCAGCAAGCTGAGATGGCACTATTGCACTCCAGCCTGGATGAAAGAGCACGACTCCGTCTGAAAACAAACAAACAAAAAACAGTCTGAAGTAAGACACTGAATGTATACTGTTAGATTGCACAAGCATGTGATAGGATTAAATACTAGCTTTATATATATATATATTTGTGTGTGTGTGTGTGTGTGTGTGTGTGAGAGAGAGAGAGAGAGAGAGAGAGAAAACTGGAGTCTCTGTCGCCCAGGCTGGAGTGCTGTGGTGTAATCTTGGCTGCACCTCCTGGGTTCAAGTGATTCTCCTGTCTCAGGCTCCCAAGTAGCTGGGACTACAGGCACCTGCCACCACACCACACCACCACACCTGGCTAACTTTTTTGTGTTTTCAGTAGAGATGGAGTTTCCCCATGTTGGCCAGGCTGGTCTCGAACTCCTGACCTCAGGTGATTCACCTGCTTCAGCCTCCCAAAGTGCTGGGATTATAGGCATGAGTCACCCTGCGCCCGGCCTAGCTTTGTATTTTTATATTTGAGTTGGCACTTCCCCATTTTGCATGATCCTGACTGAAATTAGGAAATTAGATTATATCATTGTTTTATAGGCAAATGACTAAAACTTGAAATATTTGGGGGCCTGTCTCTGAATTCCCTTTGCTGGGGCTAGAACCCTCATCTGTGACTGTTGTAACTCTCAGGAGGCAGCAAATTTTCCGTGAAGAATAATTCCACTTGCATTGAAATTCTCTCTTCCCTGTGATGTGCTCATGCGCTCTCCGGCTCACCCCACGGTCCTTTCCGGGCTCTGCTCCCTGGGCCAGGCCCTCTTTGCTGATTCTGTGCAGCATCGCCGTCGTCTTTGGCATTCTGATCCTCGGCTGTTGCTTCAGATCCACCTACTCACTGGCTGCTCTCCTTGAGTTCTGAATCATTCTGTGTTTCCAGCTCTCTTCTGGACATGCCAGTCCCTCATTCAACATGTCAGAATGACATTTAATTTTCACCCCAAGCTGTGGCTCTTTCTTATCTGGATCTTCTGTTTAATCCCAGGAAGCAGAACCTGAAAGTCAATCTGGAATCCTCCCTCTCCCTCAGACCCTTCTCCCAGCCTCCACATCCAATCAGCCACTCACACACTAGTTGATTGTGTTTGTTAAATGTCCCTAAAATTCTTCCCTTCTGTCCCTATTTTGTCTCATCTAGACTGTTGGAGCCATTTCCTGCCTTCCTCTTCCAAGTCCTACTATGCCTGCTGGAGAGTCAAAACTCCTAAGTTCACCCTTCAAGCCTTTGGGTGATCTATCCCTGGGCTAGCTAGTTTCATCCCTCACCAATTCCAGTTTCCTTGTGCCCCACCCATCCCCACCTCGCCCTCAAGCAGCACAAATCCACCTGATTCTTGGATATCTCCATGTCTTTGCATTAGCTGTTGCTAGCATACCTGTCCCCTCTCATTCTTTATTCGGAGGGGATGGATTCATGCTCTTACACCCAGGCTGGAGTGCAGTGGTACAACAGCATGCCCAGATAAGTTTTTAAAATTTTTTGTAGAGATGGGGGTCTCACTATGTTACCCAGACTCCCTCTCATTCTTCCAGACTATAAAGCCCTAGGCACAGTGCAAGTTTAGGCTGTATTTTTGTTCATTTTGGTTTTCCAGCTTTAGGCACTGTTCCTGGCTCACAATGTGGGCTTGATATATGTTGGAAAGAATGTGTGTTTTACTTTAATCATTTGAAGAAGGTAAAATTTTGTAACTCTACTTCTCCAGTTCCTTGGGTGCAATTCAGTCGGCTGTTTTGAATGATTATGCAGAGATAACAGTTAAGGTGCCAACCGTGTGTGGATGCGTTTGTGTGTCTTTCACCTGTCAGTTTTTGGTATCTGGGAATGACATTTTTCTTTGCACTAGGACATCAATTGTATCTAAAAACTATGTTTCTAAAAGGAATCGGACATATGAATGAATAGGTCAGAGTTCACTACTCCAGGCAGTTTTCAAACCATATTTGGTAATGTTGATTTAAAATGGCTCAATGAAAAAGTACCCCAAGTATAATCATGGAAAATGCTAGTACTACTTTGTATGTAGCAATATATTGTTAAGAGAATTTTCATTGAAATTATGTTAATCACAGGGAAAGACGATAACTTCTCTCTTGTTTTGTTTTAACAGGATCAGTTTGACAACTTAGAAAAACACACACAGTGGGGAATTGATATTCTTGAGAAATATATCAAATTTGTGAAAGAGAGGACAGAGATTGAACTCAGCTATGCAAAGCAACTCAGGTAAGTTGATATTGAAAAACCTTATTTGTTAACTGCAAAATGATGTCAGGATAACGTATACTCTCATTTTATAGTATAAATGTATCATATTTTAAATATTTTTCCTTTTATGTAAGGTAATATTTCAATAGAAGTGATTTTATTTTTCATATGGAAAATTAATTTTCATAGAACATTAAAAGTAAAAACAAAGTTACTGCTTTAAGGCCCAGCTTTTTTCAACAGGATATTCACTGAGTTTCGGAGTAGCTTGTTTTTCGGTAAACTTTTTATTGAAATATATTAACATATGTACAGAGAAGTACACAAATCATAAGTGTGCAGCTCCATGAATTTTGACAGTGTGAACACACTCATGTAACCGGGAACCCAGGTCAAGAAACAGAAAGACCAGCCCAGGAGGCCCCCCTGGCCCCTTCCAGCTCCCCACTCTCCCCACAACGGTAACCACTCTCCTGACTTCTAATCACATGGATTAGTAGTGCCCACTTTTGAACTTTACATGAGTGTAATCATTTGAAATGCATTCCTGTGTATCTGGCTTCTTTTGTTCCATATTACGTTTGTGAGATTCACCATGTGGTATCATGTGGTGGGAGTCTGCTATTTTCATTGCTGTGGAGTATTTTGGTCTATGAATGCACCCAAACTCATCCATTCTGCTGTTACTAGGCGATTTGGTTGTTTCCAATTTAGGCATATAATGAGTAGCACTCCAACGAGCATTACTGTACAAAACTTTTTGTGCGTATCTGAACACATTTCCCAGGATCTACCTAGGATTCGAATTGCAAGGTCTCAGGCTACTCGTATGTTTCGCTTTAGTGGATAGGGTTAAACCATTTTCCAAGGTGCTTGTACTAATTCACACTCCCTCCCGTAATGTGTTGAGGGGGCCTAGTATTTTAAAAGTACTTCGGGCCGGGCGCAGTGGCTCATACCTGTCATCCCAGCACTTTGGGAGGCAGAGCTGGGCAGATTGCCTGAGGTCAAGAGTTTGAGACCAGCCTGGACAACATGGTGAAACCCCATCTCTACTCAAAATACAAAAATTAGCCAGGCATGGTGGCGCATGCCTGTAATCTCAGCTGCTGCTTGGGAGGCTGAGGCATGAGAATTGCTTGAACCCAGAAGGCCAGAGGTTACAGTGAGCTGAGATCGTGCCACTGCACGAGATCACCAACCTGGGTGACAGAGTGAGACGTCATCTCAAAAAAAAAAAAAGGGACTTTGGGGCTGGTCGTGGTGGCTGATGCCTGCAATCCAAGCACTTTGGGAGGCCAACGAGGGAGGATTTCTTGGGCCCAGAGATTTCAAGACCAGCCCGGGCAACATAGTGAGACCCCTGTCTCTATTTTTTTTTTTTAAGTACTTTGGATCTCCTTACATTTTTAATGATGAGATGATCCAAGAAATTTGTGTTTTTATAGAATATATTTAAAAGTTCTTGGTAGAACTAAGCTTGAACTTGAAGTGGCATACAAAATCTTTTTAATGATTTCTTGTTTTGTAGTTGAATTGGTTTGTGAATGTTGTTTTAAGGCTTGTTAAAGAGCTAGATGATTTTGATTTAGAAACATTTCGTTTTCTTTTCTTTTTTTTTTTTTTTTTGAGCCAAGTCTCACTGTTTCACCCAGGCTAGAGTGCAGTGGTGTGATCTCAGCTCACTGCAATCTCCACCTCCCAGGTTTGAGTGATTCTCCTGCTTCAGCCTCCCAAGTAGCTGGGATTACAGGTGTGCGCCACCATGGCCAGCTAATTTTTGTATTTTTAGTAGAGACAGGGTTTCACCATGTTGGCCAGGTTGGTCTCGAACTCCTGACCTCATGTGATCCACCTGCCTCGGCCACCCAAAGGGGTGGAATTACAGGCATGAGCCACCATGCCCGGCCCTTTTTTCTTTTTTTAAAAAAAACTTCCTTCAAGCTCCCTCACCATTGAATTTTAATCCGAAGATCATCTCTATAAGAGGTATGTGTTCATCTAGGGTTTCTGTTGTTGTTTCAGCAAGCTGGGGTTACAGTTGGGAGCCACTGCGCCTGGCCTCAGATTTTTTCATTGAGTGAATAACGTAAAACATTGCACAAGGAAATAATTTTTCTAAATGGAGAATCCAGATCAGTGTCTAGTGCCCTGAGTGCATATCAGCCTGGTAAACACTTCAGGGCTTTTTGAACTGAAAGTAGGAATAGAACATGGTTTGTTTCGCGTTGATTATTTGACTATTGCACTGTTAGTCAAGCAGTGTTATCTTTCGTGTGAAAATGGACTATGGGTGAGCTCTTGAGACGGCTCCTGATGTTCTTCCCATCACAGTCTCCCTTGCTGGCCTCTCTTCTTCCCCTGCCTGTTCACATCGCTATGCCCAGCGCCTGCTTCTCAGTCCTTCTCCCTTCCCAGTCTGTACTCTCCTGGTGACCGCAACTGTCTCGTGGCTTTAGATATGACCCATATGACATATATGGGTCACAGATAGGGATCTCCAAGCCAGACCTTGCCCCTGAACTCCAGAAACAGCTTGCTCAAAATCTCTACTTGGAAATGTCTAAAAACGTCTGAAATGATACATGTCTGAAACTGAACACCTGATCTTCCCAACTTAAAAATCTACATGTTGGCCGGGTGTGGTGGCTCTCGCCTATAATCCCAGCACTTTGGGAGGCCAAAGCGGGCAGATCATGAGGTCAAGAGATCGAGACCATCCTGGTCAACATGGTGAAACCTTGTTTCTACTAAAAATACAAAAATTGGCTGGGCTTGGTGGTGCACACCTGTAGTCCCAGTTACTCAAGAGGCTGAGGCAGCAGAATTACTTGAACCCAAGAGGCAGAGGTTACAGTCCAGCCTGGTGACAGAGCAAGATTCTGTCTCAAAATAAATAATAAATAAATACACAAATACCTAAATAAATAAAATTCACATGTCTAGGCGAAGTGAAGTGGCTCATACCTATAATCCCAGCACTTCAGGAGGCTGAGGTGAGAGGATTACTTGAAAGACAGGAGTTGGAGACCAGCCTGAGCAACATAGCAAGACCCTGCCTCTAAAAAGAATTTTTAAAAATTAGCCAGGCATGGTGGTGCATATCTGTAGTCCCAGCTACTCGAGAGGCTGAGGAGGGAGAATGCTTGAGCCCAAGACGTTGGGGCTGCAGTGAGCCATAATTACACTACTACACTGCAGCCTTAGCAACACAGCAAGACCCTAAATTAAAAAAAATAAAAATCTTCCATGGCCTAGATTTTCTTCCACTCACCTGAGGGTAGCTGCATACTTCCTGGTTTAGATTAAAAAAAAAAAAAAAAAAAAAAAAACCCTGGCATTAGCCAGGTGAGGGTGGATCACTTGAAGTCAAGAGTTCAAGACCAGCCTGGCCAACATGGTGAAACTCTATCTCTACTAAAAATACAAAAACATTAGTCAGGCCTGGTGGTGGGTGCCTGTAATCCCAGCTACTCTGGAGGCTGAGGGAGGAGAATCACTTGAACCCAGGAGGCAGAGGCTGCAGTGAGTTGAGATTGTGCCACTGCACTGCAGCCCGGGTAACAGAGCAAGACTCCATCTCAAAAACAAACAGGCTGGGTGTGGGGGCTCATGCCTGTAATCCCAGCACTTTGGGAGGCCAAACTGGGCAGATCACCTGAGGTCGGGTGTTCAAGACCACCCTGACCAACATGGAGAAACTTTGTCTCTGCTAAAAATATAAAAACATTAGCCAGGCCTGGTGGTGGGTGCCTATAATCCCAGCAACTCAGGGGGGCTGAGGCAGGAGAATCGCTTGAATCTGGGAGGTGGAGGTTACGCCACTGCACTCCAGCCTGAACAACAAGAGTGAAACTCCATCTCAAAACAAACAAACAACAACAACAACAACAAAAAACACGGGCGTCATCATCTCTGGCTCCCTTTTTTCTCTCACACTCCCGAGTCCAAGCCATCAGGAAATCCTGGCTACTCTACACATTCATCCAGGATCTGACACCTGTTATTACCTCCACTGCTGCCACTGTGGTCCATGTCACATGGCCCATGTGGTCCATTAATCTTTTGCCTGGTTATTATGAGTCTATTGACTCGTTTCCCTTATTCTACCTATATCCCCTATTCCCTGATTTCTACAAAGCAGCCAGATGACAGTACTCCTCTGTTCAAAATTCCAGTGCATCTCCATTTCATTCTGAGTAAATCCAAAAACCGTACAGTGAATGTCCTACCAAACCCTGTATGATCTGGTTCCCACACCCTTGTGACATGTTTTAACTCCCTTCCTCCTCCTCTCTGCTGTAACCATTCAGAGGCCTCCTTCCTGTTTCTTGTACATGCCAGGCATACCCTCACCTGAGAGGCATTGTGCTGACCCTTCCATGTAGATATCACCTCTGTGTTCTTCCCCAGCTCCATGTAGCTGACTCCCTCTCCTCCCTCCAGTACCTGCTCAGTGAGGCCGGCCTCATCCCCTAGCTCACTTAGCCTGCTTTGCTTTCCACTTTTCCTATATTAATGGTAACTTTCTACCATTTTATAGAATTTTTTCATTTATTTATTTTTGAAAATTGACAAAATATTCATTTCTATATTATTCGTATATGAAATTATATGTATTTAGGGTGTATAACATGATGCTTTGAAATATGTAACACTGCAGAATGCCCAAATCAGGTTAATTAACATAGGCATTACTGCACAAACCTAATTTTTTTTTTGAGGTAAGAACATTAAAATCTACTCTTCTAACAATTTAGCAGTTTTCCTCCTTCTCTGTCCTTCCCTTCCTTCCTTTTCTTCTTTTGAGACAGGGTCTCAACTCTGACCGAGGTGGAGTTCAGTGGCATGATCTTGGCTCACCTCTACCTCCTGGGCTCAAGTGATTCTCCCACCTCAGCCTCCCAAGTAACTGAGACCACAGGAATGCGCTGCCACACCTAGTTAATATTTGTATTTTTTGTAGAGACGGAATTTCGCCATGTTGCCCATGCTGGTCTTGAACTTCTGCGTTCAAG